ACGCACCTGTCCTGGTTCCTGCTCGTGCCGGGGATTGCCGTTGTGCGAGGAGCACTGGATGCCGAGACGCAGCGGCAGCTCATCACACGCGCCCTCACACGGTACCCGTATGAGTACGTGTCCAACCTGTCCAAGGACTATCGTCTCGTGCACAACCTGTGGGACCTGCACGTCAGCAAGAGTGAGGAGCGCGTGTGGCAGCGCCCACAGCACCAGCGCGAGACGTTCCTGCGCCACGCACCGCCGTGTCACCTCCATGGCGATGGTGGCACTGGTGGCGATGGGGAGAGCGCAGACGGGACATCCACGCATGCGTGTTGTCGCGGCGGCACAGATCACCACAGTGTCGCTGGCTTGGATGATGGCCGCGCAGTGGGCAGCAGCGATGGTGCAGAGCAAGTGGCTGGGTGTGGCTCAAGAAGCAGCGACGCAGCAGCGCTGGCCAGCCGTGATGCTGAAGCGCAAGGGAGAGGAGGCCCACACGATGCAGCAGCACATGCAGATAACACGCGCCCTAGCCACTCACCAGACAATCAGCACCCACACACAGCCAGGACAGCAGGGGCACCAGCAAAGACAACGGCAGCAGCAACTCCGAAGACCAAGTGTGTGGCTGGCCACAAGCTGCTGCCAAAGCTGCGCTCGCTCAACATGGGGTACCGGTTCAACTGGTTCTCGCGAACGTATGACGAAGAGGACTTTGCGCCACTGCCGGCTCACCTCGACACGCTGTTCCGGCAGCTGTGTGCCTTGACGCGACCAATACACGGCTACGGCACGATGCGCCCCGAGGCCGTAGTCGCCAACTACTACAAGCACAACGACCGCATGATGGGCCACGTGGACGACAGCGAGGAGTGTGATACGCCGCTCCTGTCGCTCTCGCTCGGAGCAGACTGCCTCTTCCTGTGCGGGCCGGAGGCCAAGTGTGCCCGCCTGACGACGGGGGACCTGCTGATTATGTATGGCCCGGCACGGCGCTACCGCCACAGCGTGCCGCGTATCCTGCCGCTGTCACAGCCGGCGAACAGCATGCTTGACGGCATTGAGGCGGCTGGCGTGGCAGACTACATTCGCGCTGCTGGCATGCGCATCAACATCAACGCACGCCAGGTGAAGCTTGACACAAGGCAAGGCGGAGAAGATGGAGATGAAGTAGGAGAAGAGGAGGAGGCGGGATGAAGGAAACAGGATGGGGAAGAGCAGCACCGGCACTACTGAGGGGAGGGAGCACAGCGTGACTTGCCCTCTTGCATACGTGTGCGTGTGTGTGTGTGTGTGTGTGTGTGTGTGTGTGTGTGTGTGTGTGTGTGTGTGTGTGTGTGTGTGTGTGTTGAGATACCTCCTCTCCTCACTTGCTTGGTTCACTGGAGGGTTGTTTATGATGGGAGAGACAACACGCACGACGCGACAACACGCACGACGCTATAACAGCGCGCGGGTTCGCAATCGCATGGTGCACGCAGTACACAATGGCACCCGCTTAAGACATGCCCATCGAAGAAGAGCAAGAATGCATCGCCACAAGATGACAGCGTGCATACACTCGTACATGCAATGACTGGCACGTGACGCGGCCGCCTTGCTTACAGCTCATCCTTGCTTGCTGCCGCAGGTTGCGTGCTGCTGCTGCCGTCGCCACCGCTGTGATTGTCTTTGTAGTTCTGCTGCACCTTTGGGAAGGAGCGCGCAGTGTCCTTGTCTGTGAGGTGGTAGAGTTTGCGCACATATGCAAACACGCCCGGCCTGTCTGCCTCGTGGAAGCGCGAGAGGGCCTCGGACAGTGGCTCCACCAGCTGCAGGAACGCAATGGCCCGTCTCCGCCCAGGGAACACCGACAGATATTTGTCGTGCAGCAGGTCAAACTGGTGGAAGTGCATCTGTGTACATGCGTTGAATGCGTTGAGTGATATGCTTTGGGTGGTTGATGAAGGGTGAACAAAGGCTTGCGTACAGGCGACACAAGGAAGCACGTCCAACCAAAACATGCAAGCACACACACACAACGCATGCGTGCAAGAGCACAGACGTTGTTCTCGTCCCAACGCCCCACATACTCACCACTTTGGAGTACCACGCCTCCACACGCCTGCGTGCATGCTCCAGCTCCCACGCCTGGTCCGAGTTGTGCTTGTACTCCTCAATAAACACCGCCGCGTAGTCATCTTGGTGCGTGTCGTAGAAGCGCCGTAGTGTCCGAAGACTGCAAACACCCAGGGGTCAGTGAATACAGCCAAGGTAGCATGCGTGAGAGTGAGTGTGAATGAGTGAGCACGTGTATCTATCGTTGTGTGCATGTGTGCCAACACAGCACCACTTGATGCATGCAACTTGACGCGACGCGACGCTCCCTCCACACACTCACATACATAAACACACATGCACACACATAGACACGCACACGCACACACACAAACATGCACACAACCACACACACACACACACCTGTCGAGCATTTGCGGGCTGGAGTATTCGGAGAGGATGTCGTTGAAGAGGCTTGCCTCTGAGCCAGACTTCATCAGAGCGAGCGCATTGTAGAAGTAGACGACGGAGGCCAGCAGCGAGAGCGCGGAGATGATCAGCGACCAGTTCTGGTAGTACATAGCACTGTGTATCTTTCCCAACAGCGAGTTGGACACACGGGTCGTGGACGAGCCCTGACGCAGCAGCGGTGTCGTGGGTGTTCTGGGTGTCGCGGGGGACGCAGCTGGCACACCTGCCGCAGTGCCGCTGTTGCTGCTACCGTCAGCAGCCATATTGGTCTACTTTTTGTGGTGTCGTAAAGTGGCACCCAATACGGAAGCGCGCAACAAGCGAGCGGTCAACACATCACACGCCAGCACAGCCACTCGCCAACACAGCCAAGATCACCAACCTGATGCGCGTCCTGGTTGGGCCAGTGACGCTGGCACTAGCGCTTGCGCTGGCGCTTGCTGTGTTGCTGCTGCCGGCAGTGCCAGTGACAGGTGCAGCGGAGCTGGTGGAGGACGAGGCGGGCTCGCTGCATGTGAACACAACCGGCCGCGTGTACTTCAACGGCGTGGACGTTGTGGACAAGGCATACAACCTCACGCACAAGCTGCAGGCCCTCACAGACCAGCTGTGCGAAGGCTGGCCGACCCGAGACATTCACACGCGAGCGATCCCCTTCGACTCCCCCGGTCGTTACCAGTACTCGGGCGGCGTCCTCGCCAGCAACGGCAAGATTTACGGCATCGCTGCTTCTGCCAACTCCATCATGATCATCGACCCCGTCACCAACACGCTGGACACGACCACCATCTCCATGGTCTCGGGAACCTGGACTGGCGGCGTCCTGGGCACCAACGGGAAGATCTACACCATTCCATGGAAGAATGTGCCTGTGCTGGAGATTGACCCGGCCACCAACGAGACGTCCCTCATCCCCGTGCCGGCTGGCTTGGGCAGCAGCTGCAACTACGTTCGCGGCGCACTGGCACCCAACGGCCTCATCTACGCCGCGCCAACCTGTGCCGCTGGCGTGCTCGTCATTGACCCGTTCACGGGCACCGCAGATGCCACCTCGCTGTACGTCTCGGAGGACGCTTTCAAGTGGGAGGGCAGCGTCGCCGCCAACAACGGCAAGGTCTACGGCATCCCGTTCAGCGCCAACTCCGTCCTCACCATCGATCCAGAGACAAACGCCACAGACACCACCACCATGGCGGGCTTGCCTGGCGTCTCAAAGTGGTACGACGGCGTGCTGGGCCCCAATGGCAAGATCTACGGCATGCCGTGGGGATCGCGCCGGGTGCTTGTCATCGACCCCGACACCAACACCACAGACATCACGGCGTTTGCTCCCGTGCCGAGTGGATGGCGGTGGATTGGTGGCGTGGTTGGCCCAGACAACCGCATATACGGCACGCCGGCCACCGCGCCCTCGCTGCTGGCCATTGATCCAGCGACCAACGCCATCGACTACACCACTTTCACGGGCATCACCCCGCAGGAGGGCTGGCGCGGTGGCGTGTATGTGCCTGCGTTGCACCGCATTTACGGCATTCCATATCACGCCACCAGCGTCTATGTCGTCGACCTCACTCTCATCGGCATCTGCACTTGAGATGGGGGAGGGAGAAGGGAGGGGAGGGCTGTGTGTGTGTGTGTGTGTGTGTGTGTGTGTGTGTGTGTGTGTGTGTGTGTGTAAGTGTATGGGGAGTGCAGTGCATTGATATTTGCGCAATCCCGTGTCTCGCTCTGGTCCTGTTTATCTTCATCATCACCGTGTTACATCACATTATGTTACCATCGCCATTGGGTCGCACCACGCAGGTGTCAACTTGCACATTCATTGCAAACGCACATGCGTATTGTGTATCGCACGCGCTGTGTTGAATATGAATGAACCAAACGTCCAACACGCAGGAGGAGGGGGAGGGTGTGCTCGGGTGTTACAGAGAAGAACGCAAACGAGAGAGAGCAAGAGAACATGTCAGAGTAAGAATGCAAGAACTCTCTGGATGAAGAGACATGTCAATGACGCGCACAACACTGCACGAAACAACACAACACAACACACACCCAACATCACATGCACGTACCCAACATCACATGCACACACGCAACATCACATACATACACCCAACATCACAACGCATGTCACCACCACTTGCGAAAGGTTGAGATGCGGTGCGGGTGGCTTGCGGCGGGCAGGGCGACGGTGACAGTGGTGAGCAGCTCCTCACCATGTCCACGCGTCAGCTCCACATCATAGTCGCCGTTGTGCACGCTACGATGGCCATCGTTGTCAACAAGCCCAAGCATGGTCGTCGTCAGGTTGAAGTGGACCGTGGTGGATGCGCCCGCCGCCAGCGACACCCGCTCAAACGCAAACAGCACCTTGATTGGGACGGGCGTGTCGCTGCCGAGGGTGGTGATGGTGGCTGCCTTTGGCTTCATGAACGCAAACACCACCTCGTCGCCAGCAACGCGGCCCGTGTTTGTCACTTTGCACGTGTATGTCTTTGTGGCGTGCGGTGACGTCAGCACGCCGGATGGAGGCGCCGGTGACCAGGTCAAGTTAAACGTCGTGTACGACAGGCCTGGCGGTGCGGTGTTGTGGGATGCAGGAGGGGGGGGGACATTGGACGATGTTGCGGTGATGAGTAGAACAGCAAGCAAACCGCACGCACACAGAAGGACAGTAACACACGTTGCCTACGACACAACAGTGCACAAGCTGCGTTCAGCACAAGCACAGGGTGTGCACAATACGCACGCACGCACACGCACACACACACACTCGCACACACACACACACACACATAGCACGCAGCAGCTCACCGAAGCCAAAGGCGAAGAGCGGGGTGCCGGTGTAGTACTTGTAGCTGCGACCCGGCCCCGTCGTCATGCTCATGTTGAGGAAGTCAATGTCATCTACATATGTTGACGGGTACATGGTGACGGGCAGCTTGCCGCCAGGGTTGTTCGCGCCGAAGATAGTTTCGCTGTTTGTTTTGTTTTGGTTTGGTTTGGGGGGAGCGGCAGGTTGAGGGAGAGGAGGGAAATGGAGTATGTGTGTGTGTGTGTGTGTGTGTGTGTGTGTGTGTGTGTGTGTGTGTGTGTGTGTGTGTGTGTGTGTGTGTGTGTGTGTGTGTGTGTGTGTGTGTGTGTGTGCGGGGGAGGGGGGAGGATGGCGGGGAGGTGCACGCGTGGAACAGTGAAAGAAATGAGAGATAACGACATTTGAAAGCCGCATGAACACCATCACCAGCAGTACACTGGGCAGCAGCCCCATGAAGAAAGCAGCTGAGGCCGTCAAAACCACATGGACACACACACACACACACACATACACACACACACACACACACAGAGCAGCACCTTGAGTGTAACGATGGCCTGGTAGTAGTTGGGGTCGTCGCCATATTGGAGGCCCTGCGTGTATGCACTGCCGTACAGTCCACAAACGAGCGGATCTTCACCCGGGCTCTCAACATTCCGACCCCACCCTGTTTGTGGCAACACATGGTACAAACATGATTGTTGGCGGATGTGTGCGCACGTGTGTGAGAATAGAACAGTTCGTGGGATATGCGGAGGCGGTCATGTGGAGCTCTCACTCACACACACACACACACACTCACTCACTCACACACTCACTCACAGCTACACTAACACACTCACACACTCACTCACAGCTACACAAACACACTCACTCACAGCTACACGAACACACTCACTCACACACTTACTCCCTTACTCACACCTACACACACACACACACAAACACTCACTCACGCGGGTCCTGGTGTTGGGCGAAGGGGTCAGAGACAGGGCAGGTGCATAGGAAATGGCGTGAGCAACAGAACAACATGCAATATCCCAAGCTGCACCATCAACACACATGAAACAACCTTCAGCGCTGGTCATAATGCGTCTGCCAGCGAGATCGCAGTGGCTTCACCACACGACTCACGCGAGATGGGTTGATCGTCGGGCTCCACGTGTCCTGAGTTGGGGAAAGGGGTGATGATGAACGAAAGCAGCAGGAAGGGTGAGAGACGATGCACACAAGGAGCAAATACAACAGTGACACTCCTGTGAGTGCGTTGCATGTGCACAACACTCACACACTTAACACACACACTTTACACATGACACACACACACTTCACACACACGCACAGCTACTGACGAGGGAGTTGTGGAATTGGCCGTTGTAGTACGCGCGGAGTTCGCGCCCAATGATACGCCCCATCTCCTTGACGATGGACATGTTGAAGGTGGCAGCCAGCCCACACGGTGCGGGGAACGACGTCGGGCACTGCCCGTCCGGCAGGCACTGCGTGTTCTGCATGCCCTGTGATGCGAACAGTGACAGTAGTCCGGCAGCGATAAGTGAATACCTTGGCATGCCTATCCTTCACGCCGTGGCATGAATGCGATTGCCTCATCGCAAGAGTGGTACATTGATGTCAGGACTTGTGCCTCCAACGCATACATCACACCCACGACTTGCAGTGTGCTCCTACACTCCAGTTCGGCGTCTTCACCGCGTCACGTCGCCACACACACACACACCACACACACACACACACACACACACACACACACACACACACACACACACACACACGCGCGCGCGCACACGCACGTACGCACACGCACGTACGCACATGGATGGCGTTTGTGCCCCAGTAGTAGGCGGGCACGCCAATGTCTAGTAGCTGTGGGCTCTGGCGGGCGCGAAGCTGAGCACCAACGTCGTCGAGCTTGACGCGGGAGATGAGGTCTTGCAGGCGGGCGTCCAGCGGCAAGCTGGTGTTGCAGAAGCGAAGGCTGCCAAACTTGCCCTGGCAAGCGTAGAAGACGTCGTTGGGCGAGCGCCCGTTGGTGCCGCTGATGCGGTCACTCTGCGTGGTGTTGTCACGCAGGTTATCCTTGAGGAAGCAGGCGTGGGTGCTGGTGTCGAAGGTGAAGGCAATACACGCCGAGTTGGCATTGCATGCGTTGCAGCACGCGTCCGCGCTTGCTACCTGCAAGACGTCGATGTTGCCTGCGCCGATGATCACGCCAGTCTCAAGCTTGCACTGGAGGCCCGGCTCTGCGCCTTCGCACCTGCCACTGCAGACAGCCACCACAGCCACCACAGCCGCCGCCAGCAACAGATGGGAAGGCATTCGCATGGCTGCGACCTGAACCATGGTGTCTGGCAGCAAGTCCTCCTGAACACTGTGCACTGCTGCTCTGTGTTTGTTTGTGTTTTGGCGCATTCGCGTTCTGCAAACACCACCGACCAATCAAAGGAAGGAACAACAACGAGCATGTGGTTGCGGCGTGTTGCTCTGGCGTGTGGTGATGGTGGTAGTGTTGGTCGTGTTGGTGGGTTGAGGCTGCGAGGCGCGGTAGCGCGGTTGTCGGTGACAAGCCGCGTTGGCACGAAAGCGTCCTCTTCCGACGCCGAGCAGAAGAAAGCCTGGAAGGCGGACGCCATCCGCCAGCAGATGGCCCAGCATGCAACAGACACATCTGTGAGCTGCTTGTGCTTGTGTTTGTGCGTGTGTGTGTGTGTGTGCGTGTTTGTGCGTGTGTTTGTGTGATCGTGTGTGTGTGTGTGTGTGTGTGTGTGTGTGTGTGTGTGTGTGTGTGTGTGTGTGTGTGTGTGTGTGTGTGTGTGTGTGTGTGTGTGAGGTTAGCCCGCCGTTGCTTGCTCTGATATACAATATATGCACAAACACACATGCACATTCATAAACAAGCACACCCTCACGTTCATGCGCGCGCACACTCACCACACTCACTATCACACACTCACTCGCTGTGTTGCTGCTGATTTCTGCCAGAGCATGACTGTCGTGCAGGGCAAGCCAGGCGTGTGCGTGCTCGGCAGGCCTGTTGGACCGCTCGCCATGAACCAGTATCTCGTGTTCTGCGAGGTATGACAGACAGATGGCAACACGTGCTGTATAGTCCCCCACAAGCGGTGCAATCCATGTCGGGGCGCATCAGGTCATGCCATGTGCCGCATACAGCCTGCAGTTACAACCACCCACCGCACTCCACAAGCTACCGCCGCTGCTGCCGCTGCTGTCACTGCTACTGCTGCTGTTGCCGACGTTGGCGTTGATCTCATGTCACACCTCATCAACCTTGCGTTGCGGCTGCGCAGGACACGAAGGAAGCTGCCATTGTGGACTCTGGCACGGACACCATGCCAGACTTTCTCGACATCATCAAGAACGAACAGTGAGCCGCTCGCACATGTACCGTTGACGCTTCGTGCTTGTGTGTGAGCTTGTGTTTGCCATGCACGTGCCACCCAATGCATCTGCACTTGGCTCACATGCTTGTATTTGTTTGTGTCTTGTGTGCGTGTGTGCATATGACCAAACCACACACCGTCAATGCCATATCCAGACTGGACGTCAAGTATTTGTTGCAGACGCATGCGCATCCCGACCACGTAGCAGGTCTCGCCGTCACCAAGCGCCAGTTCCCAGGTGTGTGTGTGTGTGTGTGTGTGTGTGTGTGTATCTGATGTGATGTGGGATTGTTCGCTGTGCAGACGGCTGTGTAGCCAGCGATCGTCTTGCTTCATGATTTGCGTGTCGTCTCCCTCCTCTCTCACATACACACACACATAAACACACACACATTTGCACAACTCTACAGCTGCCAAGGTTGTCATGCACGAGAAGGAGCTTCCTGTTGCAGCTGCGGCCCCACAGTTTGGACAAGTGCGTGCATGTGTCTGTGTGTTCGTGCGTGTGCTTTTGCACGTGACTTCTCTGCAGTTCATTCGATACACGCACACAATGTTGCTGCCGTCTTTGCATTCTTCCCCTTGCTCACCGCTGCCATTGCGCTTGTGTGTTGCCTGCAGGCATTTGGGCTCTCGATCGAGCCTCTGCCTGAGCCAGATTTGCTACTTGATGACAACGCGACCATCACCATTGGCAATCTCACATTCCGTGCTTTGCACACACCAGGTTGGGTGTGTGTGTGTGTGTGTGTGTGTGTGTGTGTGTGTGTGCGTGTGTGTGTGTGTGTGTGTGTGGCTGCCTTTCTGCGTGTCTATCTGTGTGACCATGTGCCTGTGTGAGGGTCCCGCCTGCGCAGCGCTTTGCACCAGTCGCGTGTACACCCGCTGTCGTCCACGTGCTCATGTGCAACTGTCACCACATCATGCATGTTCGTGCCAACACAGGCCACTGCCCAGGCCATCTGTGCTTCTACGAAGAGGAGAAAGGAATTCTCTTCAGCGGAGACCTCCTCTTCAAGGGAACAGTCGGCAGGACAGGTGTGTGTGTGTGTGTGTGTGTGCTTGTGGGAAAGGTGGGGAGAAGGGTACAGAACAAAGGCGTTGAAACGCGTGCCACACTCATTGCACGAGCCCTTCGCCACGCCAACACCTCAGAGCACACACGTACACACACACACACACACACACACACACACACACACACACAACCATACACAACCACACACACGCACACACACAACCACACACACCCACACACACAGTCTCTCTCACT